CAATATAATATATATATATATATATACACCATAGTCTTAGTTTTAATGGTAATTTGAATGTTTTCTTCAAAATTAATTATTTTTCCTCCTTTTTCATACCCTTTGCGATCCAATTAATGGAATTTCCACTTCTGCTGACTTGATAACTTTCATATGTCTACGATCATAATCTGGCAGGAGAGTTGCAATATGCATAGGCACACAAAAGTGCACATGTGAATTCTTCGAGTAGACAGCCTGGTGCCAAATTTGCTACTTAAATTTATCATTTTCCATTTTATGGCTATGCAACTAGTTTATGATGATGGATTAGCCTGTAAGCACGAAGTCGTTCAAAAGCCTTACGTGTAACTGCATTACGATGCTTTTACTTCCGAGAAAGACCTGAGTATTATTCTATTCAGAAGAATTAATATGTCTCAATTTACCTTTTCACTTGTACAGGCCATTCCGCACGCACAGAGACTATAACAATATGTACATTATGCGATTTTATCAGCCTTTTTTGACTTGGGTTTATTGTCTCTTCTTTAGATTAACTTGATCCAATCCACTCAAATGCGTTCCATCATAAATTACATAAAAGACCCTTGAAGTTGGTTGCAGTGTTGTCTGCTGGTCAGGTAAGAACCGAAGGTCTACGGATCCTACTCAAGTTTAGGATAGTATTGCGGAGCTTTGCGAAATTCGATCTTTCCCAGTAGCATACTAGAAGAGGAGCTTATGCTCTAAGTTTTCTTCATACAAATTACCATAGGAATCACATCGCTAACTATTGACAACCTATATTTCTAATACATATACATATATATATATATATATAAATATATATATTTATGTATATATATATATATATAAGGTTTAAATGGATTGTACATTCAAAGCTCAGAAATCAGGAACTTTTGCGCCGATCTCAAAACATTAGAATTAAGCTTCTTCGATCAGCAGCTGAAAATGAAAGGAAGAATGGGGAAGCCTAATCCCTTAGAGAGAGGAGGAAGAGACAAAGTACATCGCCGATTGCGGCGATAATCACGGGCTCTCGTCAGAATGGACTCAGCGGGGCGACATAGCAAATAGGAATTCCAGTTATCACAGGTTTCCAGCTTTATTCTCTCATTTGCTGCTAGACTGTACACGAAGCCCTTTAGTCTGAGGTAATTGGTTGTCTGCAATTTGGACGAAAAATGCTGCCAAAAGAGGAGTCGATGAAGAGTGGGGGGCTGAATTGAGCTGTCGGGTTGAAGATGCATATGGTCGTCATAGTAGAGCAAAGCTAAGGCTTCATGGCAATGGTACTTGAGTAGAAGTGGTAAAAATGCCCCTGACTTGTTCTTTCCGAGTTGTGATGGCACACAATTTCTAGTTTGGAAGGCGCACTGCTGCACGCAAACGTGAAGAAATGCAGAAATGAGGGAATAAAAGAACAAACATATAAATACTCTTATGTACACACGGTTTTAGCATTGGTCGCGCTGTATTTTCTATAAAATATTGGCTTTCGGATTGAGAAAGGTGACCATTATTTGATATTTTGGTAGCCCTACATAAAATTTGGCTCCCATACATGTCAGGAGCCAGAGATGTTGGCAAAATCAGTTGGAAGTTCAGGTGACCATACTTTTAGCTGAAGACCAGAGTTGCAGCTTTGAAGAAATGGGATCCAAGGCAAGAATCGTACATGAGGCTTGAGAAAACCGTGTAAAAATGAGGCGGTGGACTGTTCCAGGCCGGTATCAATGATCTAAAATGCAACAATGGAAGAAGGGCTCACACCAATCACACATCTTCATGGGAAGGGTGAAAGTGAATGTAGCCTTAGAGATTCGAGGACCTTACAAGCCGACAAACAAATCACCAATTTGAGTATATTTCGGTAGAGTGTACACCTGCACTAATTTATGCGAATGTCCAATTGTGTGTGTGTGTCTTCAATTTGGCTTGACGAAATAAAGGGGAAAGACAAGCTGATTCAGCAGTGAAGCGTTTGACCTCCCTGCAGATTTTTGATTTGATACAGAAGTTTTAAAAGCATGACTGAACGTCTTCATGTTTTTAGGCGAAAATTTGGCTCGTAGTAAAGATGTACATGTGGAAAAAATTAGCAAATGAGTCTATATCGACAGAATGCATGAATTAAGGTTCTTCGATGACATTTTCACTGCTGTCTTCTGGCCGCGGGAAGTAGAAGATGATCGAGATGACCAGAGCGAACAGATAAATGACAAAGAAGAGCCGATCCAGCACCATTCCAATGGCTCGCCACTCATTGATCACCTTATTCACTTTCTCTTTGGCCTCGTTGGTCTTCTGCAAGTAGCGGATACCTTTCACAATCTCCATGACGTCGCGTGTGATCATTTGTATCCGACGTACAGTGCGTGGATCGGGCGTCAGCTGATTGTGGCCTGCGTTTCTGTAGGCGGGGCTTCGACTGTTTATCCGGCCACTGCCCGCTGTGGTCGCCAAGTCGAGGGCTTCACCATTGCCAACACAT